TGCGGGCTAACCTCTAAATTTCCCGTAGTGATGTCGACGTAAAATGGCATGTCTATATGAGCTCATAGCATTCAAGTATGGTTTTTGTTCTGGCAATGTGTGGTTTCCTGTGCGTGCTACTTCCGTATGATTGCATGGGAGATTGCTTGATGTTGAAAGGTAAGCGCAGTGTAATGTAGGTTTTAGGCGCGACTCGGGCTTGTCATGTCCCATACTATTTCGACAGTTAAGTCACAAGCAACTTGCAAGGTTCACTTTGCGAGCTACGTCGCTGCCTCAACTTATCTAGTTTAATGTTCCTGCCGCGTCGCCTCTTATTTTCCTGCTTAGCGACCCTGCTTAATTTCCTGATTACTTTTCGGGCTGGATTCCCTGCTTAAATTTACTAGTTCATTTACTGCTGAAGGTCCTGCTTAATTGTCATGTTTCATTTCCTGCTTAGTTGTTATGTTTACCTTGCTGTTTCAGATTCCTGTCGCGTTTCCCGTTTAATTTCCCCTGATGTTCTTGTTTATTTTTCCTGCATAAATTGCCCCACGGGATTAGTAGTATGACTTGAGCAGGCTCCGCTAATATCGGCAGCAGTACACGTCGCAAATCATCGCCGCGAAATTATCGTTAATGTGGGTGTACCTTGTGTATACCAGAATTTGCCGGAAGTTCGCGGCGTTAATTAGCGGGTACCTTTGGGGAGTTGGATGAGGACAGTTCAAATGGTGTTGATGTGAAGTTAATCGAGTGCCTATCTTAACGCCGGCATGCGGCGCTTATATTACCGCTGGCATTAACGCCTAAATGAGCACTCGAAGTAGCACGAGCGAAATGTGTTTGCTGATGTATGTTCCTTAACTGTCATGCTTAAGTTCCTATTTGAATGTTTGCTAAATGTTCCCGCTGAGTTTCCGTGCTTCAGTTCCTGCTGAGTTATCCTGCTTAATTTCGTGCTTGAATAATGGCATGAATCATGTACCTCTTTAGCTCCCTGCTAAACTTTTCTGCTGAAGGTCCTGCATAACTGTCCTTCTGAATGGCCTGCTCAATTTTCCTGCTTAGTTAGCTGTCTGGTGTTACTGCTAAAGTTCCTGCTTAATGGTCGGCTTCTTTTGGTCAGGCGTATCGGTTTGATTTTGTTGTGCGAAGTCTGGACCTTAGATGCGATTTCAATGTTGGGGTTTCCTTTGGTTGGGGGGGGAATGTATCAGAAATGATGTTATTATCCAGCTTGAGTTTCTGACCATCTCCGCAGCGAACTACTGTCGCCATCTGTGAGCTGGGGATGTGTTTGCCCTCCGTACGTATGCACAGGCGTCAGTTCCAGCTTCCATCTTGGCAAGATATAAAGGGTCCCCCCCCTTCGCACCTGCAGGAGGCCATTTCGGCAGGAGGCAAAAGTTTGATTGTCGACACCTCCGTGGGGTAACTCTACATAAACCCAGAAGGACGGAAAAATTAGCCTGACGAAGGACCCAACCATACGCAGTTGCGAGTATCGCGAGGCAGGTGAGACGACGGAGGGGGGGCCCAGCAAAAGGTATGCGACCACCACCACTGGGGACTTCGGTGGAGCTCCAAGCTTCCTGGGGCCGCGATCCTCGTGAGGGGTGTGCCGACCTGGCCCGAGTCCGCCATGCGGACCCTGCCACTGGGGGGCTTTCGGCGGAGCCCGGGCCACGATCCTCGTGAGGGGTGCGCAACAGGATCGCTCCGAAGGTTTTTATGATTGTCCTGGGGCGCTCGCCGTGCCACGGCCAGATCCGCTTCGAGATCCTGGCCGGAACGGATCCCAGGAGAGGCCCAATGGCCCAAAGGCGGACCTCTGACTTCGAGGTTCGAGGTTATCGGCGGCGGGCCCACAGGAGAGTGCAGAAGGGCAGGCCTTCGGGCGTTGTCGTCAGTTCTCGGCGGCGCTCCGTCCTCGGGGCGCTCGCCAGCAGCTGCGCCTCGCCGAGGGGCGCCCGGCAGAGGGCTGCCCGGATCGCCCCGAGCGGCCACGGACCGAGGACGAGCCGCCCCTTCTCGGCGGCGCGCCCCGGTGGGAATGCAGAGGGGCCGGGCCTCCCCAGATCGGGGGCGGCCAAGAAGGGGGGGGATGGCTACTGGGGGGGTGGACATCATGGCGGGGGCCATGGTATCTCCCCAGAGTTCATGCTGCCCTTGTCTTTGTTCAAGACGTCCCCGGCCCCCCCCCCTGCCTGGGCCGCGCTCGGACGGCCGGAGGCCGAGCACGTGGGGAAGCCGTTTCGGCACGAGGGTCTTGGACCAGAAAGCAGACGATACCACCTCCTCCTCCCTCCTCCTCCTCCTCCTCCTCCTCCTCCTCCTCCTCCTCCTCCTCCTCCTCCCCCTCCTCATGGACGCCCCCTCTTGGCCGCCCCAGACCAGATCGCTCGGAGGGCCTCGGGCCTTCCGACATGCTCTCCTGGCCTTCCCCGAAGGCGAGGAGACATTTTTCAGAGGGCCGGCGTCTCCTGAGGAGGCCTGCCCCCGCTCACTCCCCCCCTCGGCTCGCCGCTTGGTGTGGCCAGCGGGCTGGGCTGGTGGGCTGGGCTGCAGGCCGATGGGAGCCTTTCAATCGGGAGGGAAAGAAGCACACAAACACCATCCATCGTCGACTCCCAGGGAAGATGGGGAAATATGGGGAGTGGGGGGGAGACGAAAACCTAGAAAGTTTGGGAACGGATGGGGAATCCTGTTATTGGTGTCTGTTTATGTGTGTGTGTGTGTGTGCGTGTGCGTTTGCGTGTGCGTGTGCGTGTGTGTGTGTGTGTCTGTGTGTGTGTCTGTGTGTGTGTCTGTGTGTGTGTCTGTGTGTGTGTCTGTGTGTGTGTCTGTGTGTGTGTCTGTGTGTGTGTCTGTGTGTGTGTCTGTGTGTGTGTGTGTCTGTGTGTGTGTCTGTGTGTGTGTCTGTGTGTGTGTCTGTGTGTGTGTCTGTGTGTGTCTGTGTGTGTGTCTGTGTGTGTGTGTCTGTGTGTGTGTGTGTCTGTGTGTGTGTGTCTGTGTGTGTGTGTCTGTGTGTGTGTGTCTGTGTGTGTGTCTGTGTGTGTCTGTGTGTGTGTTTGTGTGTGTGTGTCTGTGTGTGTGTCTGTGTGTGTGTCTGTGTCTGTGTCTGTGTCTGTGTCTGTGTCTGTGTCTGTGTCTGTGTCTGTGTCCGTGTCTGTGTTTCTGTGTGTGTCTGTGTGTGTGTGGGTGGGTGTGTCCCTGGGCCCCTTCATTAAATCAAGCTTGAGCCATTGAAGAGTTCGACACGCCAGACGCTCCTTTCATAAATCAAAAGAAGGCGGCGGATCTAGAATGCAACGGCATTTGGTTCATCCCGCCACCGTGCCTAGGTTGTAGGTCAAAGGCCTCTTGGATGCCTGTGTGAGGATCTGTTGGGAAGCCTTTCGGAAGCCTGCAGTTCACCCTCTTGAGGCACCTTCTTCAGGAGCAATGGTGGGAGGGATCGGCTCGATTCGAGGCATTCGGGTGCTTTCATTAGTTGTTTGCCGTGCTCCAGCTTCGGGATGCCTTCCAGCCTCTGCGTCTCGTCGGGAGCGTTCGTGGAGTACCAAGAGCCTGGATTGTCCCGAACGGCCGCCAGAGGCCCGAACTACGGCCCGAAAGCCACGGCGGAGACCAGTCGTGGGCGCATCGCCGATGCATCGGTGACGCATCGCCGAGTCCAGCTCGACGCTTCGCCCCTTGGGCTCGTCGCCCCTTCTCGTTTCTCTTCGCTCTTATGGCACATCCTGCAGAATCAGCCCTCTGCACATCACCGAGGGCGGATTGGGGAGGGGGAAGCGGAGGAGGAGGAGGAGGAGGAGGAGGAAGAGGAGGAGAAGGAGGAGGAGGAGCAGCAGGAAGCGGGCGACGACCCAGACATCCAGCGCCCTGGCAGATGTCAGATGTTCAAAGCCCGCCGCGGGGAAATCATCAGGACGCGCGGATCGCCAGCTGGGTGGGCGAGCTGCCCTTCCTTCTCCAAGGTGATCTCGCGAGGGCGTGAAGAGAACCGCGAGTCGCACATCGCGGGGCGCCAAGCAGGAACACTGGGGCACCCCGGGCGTTCCCGAGTCGAGAGCATGTGGGCCACTTGTTCAAAGTGCCGCTCCGCCTGAGTCTCCCTTCGTGGCTGCTTCGGGTGCAGTCGGACCGCGCATGAGGAAACTGGATGCTCTCCGTCAGGGCACCGTGGGTTTCTGCGCCTTGCGCGCTGCGCGGCCGACCTCCCGCGTCCGTTGAGGAACCTGCTGCCAGGGCTGGACCTAAACGGTGTTTGCGCGACTTCGTGGGCCGTTTTCGTTTCGACTTCGTTCTGCGGCAAAGGCGGATTGAGGACGAACAGAGGGAAAACGAAAACGAAAAACACCGTTTAGGGTCAGCCCTGCCTGCTGCGTCCAGGGTGCTCTGGGCTCCCCCCCCCCGGTCGCACCTCGCGCGCGGGTTTTCAGGGCTGGGTGTCTTGCCGGGATGTCTTGCGGCCGCGGCCGCCTTGCATCCCTGGCAGGGGGTCGGCGAGGCAGAGGTGTTCCAGCCCCCAGCCAGGGGCAACGTGTGGAGCTTTGGCGATTCCGTGCAGTGCCGCTTCCCTGTGGTGCTGCCCAAGCCTCGCGGAACGTGATGCGATCCGACCAGCCTGGTGCTGCGCGGTCTAAGCGACCTTCGGTTGGGCCCCAGGGGGGTGACATCCGCAGCCGTCTGAGCTCGAGCGCCCACTGATGGCGCTGCGCCAGGACGAAGCGATGCCAGACACCGAAGATGCGCCAGAGTCGCCGCAGCGCCTCAGACCCGAGCGGAGTCGGCTCGAACCTGCGCAGGGGGTCAACACGCACCTCCGGCGGTCCTATCGCGCCTCGCATGCGGGGCCCACCGCGAAGCATTCGACCGACACCTTGCCGAGCGCGAGCTCGGAGGTGCCGGGTGCGAAGTTCGACGGATTGCTGAACATGTTGGCGCAGCAGCACCACCACGAGCTGGCGCAGCTGCGCCTGGAGATCAAGGAGCTCGCCCTGGCGCGCCCGATGCAGGCCGCGAAGACGAAGGCCGAGCTCCACGCGAAGGCCTGCGCGCGCCCGCTGCACGAAGAGCTCCCCGAGGCCTCCAAGCAGAGTGCCCCGGAGGCCAGTGCCAACTCTCGCCGCACCGCTCCGGCACTGGGCGTTGGCAGCAGCGAGGTCGTCGGCTTCAACGGCCTGCTGCCGGGCGCGCTGCACCTGCCGCCCACCTGCAGCTCACCGAGGCGGTCCGAAGCGAGCTCCGGCGGCTCCAGGTCGCAGAGGGCCTCCAGCTGCGCCGACAGCGTGGATTCGCCCACCCACAGCAAGGCGACGAGGACGTTCGAGCTGCTGGAGGCCTGGGACAACTGCGAGATCGATGCCGGCGACCGGGAGCAGCAGAATGCTTCGGCTGCAATTCCAGGGAGGTCAAATTCTGATTTTGCCCCGGTCCAGAATCTGGATTAATCCAGTTTCACCATCCGGCTTAATCCCGCTGAATCTGGCTCAATCCTGCTCAACCCACGGCCGAATCCGGCGTAGCAGCCCCCCAATGGGGCCTAATCTTCCTTATCCTATGAGCGCACACGAGCACAAGCTTTTTGTGACGCTCGCGGGACGGTTTCGCCGCTGGCGCCGGATTCCCTCCCCACAGGCCTCACCGTCCGTCGGGCGAAGCGCACTGGGGACGGCTCCGTCCATCAAGGGCAGCGTTGGGGGAGGATAGGCTCAGGGGGGACGACAGGTTCGAGGCTTGAGGGTTTCGGGCGCTTTCGTCGGTTCTCGGCGGTTTCCCAGCCTCAGGCGAGCCCAGATAGTCTCCAACATCCCCCCGAGGCCCGAGTTATGGTTGAGTCGGGCGTGTCCCTCTACAGGAGGAATATTCCTAAATAGTCCAAACATAGTCTGGGCACGGTTTTTCTGCTCTGTTTGCTTATTTGTTTGTAGATTTTTTGGTTATTTTTCATCATTCGTCCAAAATCCCCCTGTAGGAGGACATGCCCGACCCAAAGTTCTGGCCCGAAGTCCACCGTGGAGACCGGTCAGGGGCAACGCTGAAGGATGTTAATCTCTTTGAGGGCGTCTTTGGGAGGCTCCGTGGCCACTTGGTGCCACACCGTGGCAGCATTTGGACCATGTTGGAAGCCATTGTGGTAGATTTTGCATTAGTTTGCTCCCTGTTGGAGTCCGTATGGGAGCCCGCAGAGGGAGGGCCGGGGGGGGGGCGGCGACCCCCGGGATTGCCCACAGACCGCCGGCAGGGGCCCGAGAGCTCACTCCACGCAGGATCGTGCGGTTGCGCTGTGGGGGGCCAAGCGGTGGGGATGCCCACGCCGGGAAGCACCGTGCTTGCCTCCAGGGTGCCCTGGGTGTCCTGGGCTTCGATAGTCTTGCCATGGAAAGCGTGACGCTCCCACTCCAAAAGTCGATGGACGTCCTGGGGATCCAGGGTTGGGTTTCTTGTGGAGGGTTTCTTGTGGGGCCCCCACTGCATCGGCGATGTATCCCCGATTCCAGCCCCATGTTTCCGCCCCCCCGAGCCTGCCACCCCCCCCTCACGTTCCGCTCAGCCCACAGAAGCGGGAGTGCGGGGTCTGGCGCCCGCGGAGAAAACATCCGCGGGTGTCCAAGAGCTCATGTGCTTACCGTGGTGCTTTGTGCTCTCAAGGCCCGTCCAAGTCCACGCGGTCTTTCAACAAGGACATCTCGATACACACCCGGCTCCACGCCAATGCGATCGCGGGCATGTACTCTTCGCAGGACGATTCAAATCTGTCCCCAGCGTCTCCCAGGGCCCATCCGGGCATGTTCTTCGAGCTGCGTCCCGGCCGTTTCGACGAGAGCTTGCAATCACTGGCATAGACCTCCAAAAGTTTACCCTGATGGGAGGATATGTTAACCAGCATCATTCGATAGTAGGCATCGTGTCGTGCGCACAGGAAGCCTTACATGATGTCATCATGAGACAACACGAGAGATCACACTGGAGGCCAGACGGGATGCCATATTGGAGACCACGCTGGAGACCACACGGGAGACCGCGGGCCACCGATTTCGGATCCAGAGAGGCAGAAGAGCTGTACAGGGCTTGTACATAGAATCTTCTTAGGGAACGACGACGACGACGACGACGACGACGACGACGACGACGGCGGTGGCGGCGGCGGCGGCGGCGGCGATGGCGAAGCTTGCTGTGCAGGACGAGCGCATGTGGCCAGCGCTCCTCGTCGCGCATCCGACCAGCCCTTCGCGGCTTGCCTGGCACGTCTTGGGAGCTCTGCTCATCCTCTCCGACCTCTTCAGGCTTCGAGGGCCAAGAACTCCCCAATACAGTCACAGCTCTCTAGCTCTCCCAATCTCCCTGCTCCCGATCCCTCCAGCATTTCCAGCCCGTTATCCAGCTCTGCTCTCCAACCGCTCGAGGAGGAGGAGGAGGAGGAGGCCCAGAATCTGGTATGCCCAGAGTCGGGTGAGAATCGCTCGAAGCTGAATCAGTTCAATGTGTTGCTGGTTCTCGAAGGTTGCC